ATGTTGGGCATGTCCAAAAGAATAGGAGTATACGACGTGCATGGGACTTCCTATAATGAGGAGGAGGAATCGATCAGCCATCTTTTATGGGACTATCCTGCTTTTGGCAGTCTTAGCTTTCGGAACCTTTTCGCACAGTACAGCTCGATGGTCTAGCGGAGATAACGATGTTAAAGTTATGGATTTAATGTGGTTATGAGGTTATATACCAACATGGCTAGAATGGCATTTGGGTTTATGTACACGTAAATGATATAATTTAATCTCAAGTAATCTCAAAAGCCGGTATGTCGACCCTTCTTACTTGTCTCTTCTTTTACTTATTTCTTTCGCTTATTCCTCTTTCATTGCATAACGCACGGAGAATTTTGTGCTGTCAAAAAGTAAATTTTCATATGTACATACATATGTATGTTTGCGAAATTGGAGTTGTTTACTTCCAAATGGCCTTGCAAATGAGTGTATTTTTATATTTTATTTACACGTACAAAAATATTTTACTAATAATTCAAGGTTCATTATACGTTTATCTTGGGAGTTAATATTGTTATTTATCACATCAAAGCGATCAATGACGCTAATTTGATAACCGTCAACAGCGTTGATTGAATAATTGACCAGACTTTATTAGAAACAATTAATTTTACGTAAAGTAAAAACACAAGTTTGATACATTTACAAACAATATTACATAAATATTAAATTAAAATTAGAGTTCTTTTTAATTAAATCAATTTAACATTTTTTTGGAGATTTTTTTTAGATTTTTGTTTGAAAATGTAAAATTATTTATGGAGATAAATATTTATACTTTAATTAATTAATACAAGAATACTTAATTCCATTTATTCTAATTAAACAAAAGAAAAAAAATTTATTAATGAAAACCGAAGCAAACACAAGCTAAACTGTTAATCAAAAGTCATTAATCGACAATTACACTGAATTTTATTTTGATAATAACAATTAAAAATCAGGAAAAAGAAAAATATTTCGAAGTTTTCTTCACCACCAGAGGGTGTTTCCTGGAATACTATTTGGTGTTTTGCCGGGGTAAGGATAGCCTTTGTTCAAAGTTAAACTGTTATATCTCTGACCTTTACCACATCTTAACTAAACAACATTTAAAGTTATAACCAAGGAGAAGGCAGACCGAATATCGGCTCGACCTGAATGTCAAAGTCGATGACGTTAAAATTACACTTATTCACGCCGCATGCGACTTCCGCCACAAAATCCTCAAGCAAGCTAAGCAACAAATAGAAATTACGTGGCACCAACTCGGACATCAAGGGCGGGCGCGAAGCTGTAATCCTCCCAGAACACTCTAGGCGGTGAACCATAACAGGAATATGTCACCTGCACACCATTTGCCACTGAGACATACAGCATAATATTAAACTGTGTAAGCAGACTCTTCTGGGACACTATCCCTGGAAAAATCTGCTAAGCATATCAAGAAGAGAATATTTGTATTGACGAACTTTACTCAGCATCATCACAGAATCGTCGAAAAAACGGAGTACCGACAGGCTTTAACCATACACAGAGAGTCTGTCAACACTTTCATTAACTCTTAATCCACACATAAACTTGCTCCGTTTTGAACGCCTGGGGAAAGCGAGGTGCAGACGAAGAAGTCACAAGCATGTCAGTACACGACCTTTAGGACCGTGACGGAAACTCTCCTAAAGCCATTGATGCATGACCTGCATAGCGAAACAATTATGCAGTTAAGTTAAGATGCATGATTTCATGCTACCGTCAATAACATCGCAACAGACATTTTCTTGAAACCGAAATTTCGCTCAGGCCCATAAGGAAGGATGCATTAGACTACATCGTTTCGTAGACAAGAAACGCTAAACGAGATGCCGACAACTTATTAATGCCATTCACAAAGAGTCTGTCATCACCTTCATCCGTGTAAAATTGGCACAATCTAGATGCAAGATCTAGATACAGATCAAGACATACCAAAATTTAAATATGCCCAGCGTGCTATGGGTCCCCACATTACTCTAAGCAATTATTTGCACGTCAACTAAGAGCTTCTAATCTAACAATACTCTCCCTCTGGTCCGAACTCGTCGATCCTAAACGGGATTAACTAGACTGCACAACAACAACAACAACTCTATGTGCTCGTATTTCGAGTAATCCAGAAATACTTTTAAACCGCCAGTTCTTTTTTTTTTTTTTCTAAAAATGACCGAACTAAATTCCGGAAGTGCATTTAAGTTTTAATTTTAAATTATTTTATTTGTTTTATGTACATAGGTACACGGTATGCGCATATTTATTACGTGTAGGAACAAATTTTTTTATTTTTTGAATTTGATTTCTATCAAAATTCTCTTGTCTGAAAATAATTTGCTCGTTTGATGGAAATGCTGATGATTTTGATTAAAATGCATTGCAATGAAATATACTTACATGTATGTATATGTGTACTTGCATTATATAGTATTTATAGCAGTGAGAGGCATGTATATATATCATATGTAAATATATAAATATTATTGTGAATACAGAAAAATCTTATTGTTTTGCGTCATAATTAGTTGAGCTATTAAAATGCAATTTATATTATATTTTAAATTTAAATTTTTACTATCAACAATTTTAATCTTTTGATAATAAATTGATCAACTATCTTTAATACATGTCGCAATGACGCAAAATTTTTCAAAACAAAAACTAAATTACTTTATTATAACAAAAGTATATTCTTTCTCAGTACCTTGTTACATACATATTACATTACATACATACATACATACATATTCCTATTTACCACTTGTAAATTGTTGTTTATTACCTTGTTTTGCCTATTACTTCGTGTTTTGTCTTGAGTTGAATATAATTATGTACATATTTACCTGTGTTGCTATACATACATATGCACAAATGTATATGTAAATATGATATATGCATGTATGAATGTAAGAATTGCGCGTGAAAATACAATATAATTTTCTCACGTGCACGGATTTAGTGTTTTGTTGTTGCTGTTATTAATGAAAATACTGTATATGTTTTGTTTGTTTGTTATATAATGCGAACTTACTTCATATTATTATTAAATTATACAACATTAAACTAAACTACTTAATAAATATTGTATTTGTTTTCAAATTTACAAGTCACTGTAATGCAAAAATGCTATGTATGTCTGCATGTATGTACATGCAATTGTATATATTAGGTGTAGTAAAAAGAAATCCATTATTTTGCTAACTTTTACTTTTCTTTCCAAACAGTTTTTGCGCAATAGAAACAGCGCTTACATGATGACGGTCGTACTCGACAATATCTATGATTTTATCGACATTTTTGGCATTTCGCCTTCCACACCATGGAGCTTTTTACACATCAGAATTACCGGAATGGTACCGAAATTGTGCATGTTTGACTGCAACAGTATCAGTCCCATAAACAATATCCACATTTTCAACCGTCTGGTTGCGTTTTCGTTCTTAACGAAGAAAAACTGTAAAACATATCTTATTTTCTCTTTGCTAGTGCCCGTCTTTGAATCAAACCTGAATCAACCAATCACAAAACTGTCTGCAAACCTTTTTTTAGTACAAAATGTCACCTTTCAAACGTCATACAGCTGAACCCGATGGGACTTATACAACGCGAGATACAGTTAAATGAGGGAAAATAATGGATTTCTTTCTACTACACCCAATACATATGTATATCTAGTTGCTACTATTATGTAAACAAGTGTATATATGTATGTAAATAATGTATAAAAACATTCTTCGCATTTAATAATAAGTTCCGGCGTAATAATACTTCAATAACAATAACAATAACAATAACAACAGGATGACACATTTAAATGAGAAAGTTTTACTTGCAATTCATTTCTTCAGTCTGTATGCCATTTCGTTGCTAATAAACGTAAATTCGTGCATTTTCTAGTTAATATTATTATTATTATAAAATAACCAAAAAAAAATCAAGAAAATTTTACCTTATGACCATATCAAATTTATAATATTGATTGAAGGAGGACTATAATGAAATTTACCGATCGATCGATGATTTTAGGTGGCTATGTGAATTTGTATAGCAAACAATATTTCATGATCGCAAATACCGGCTTTTGATGGCTTTTGGACCCAAAACCGCGATATCTGAGCAAAGCGGTTGTATGGTGGATATATTATATAGACCTATGATATCGATGATTTTAAATGCCAATGTTTATTTTGAGATACGAATGTATAACACCATGTTTCATACTCTTAGTTTATTTTTCACCCAAACTCTCTTAGATGCTTTTTTGACATATCTAATCTAAAAAATCGGTCGTATATACATATGCCGGTCGATCTGGCCGGTTCCTCCAAATGTTGCACCGATGCAACAAATTTGCTTGAAATATCTAAAAAAAAAAAACTTACTTGTTAAATCAATTCAACTCGTCTTCTTCTTCCCATTTTGGTACTTATGTACTTCGGACCAAAGTTAAAATTAATATTTCTTGTACATCAAAGGTATAAAAAAAGACAATTCTAACAAAGATATTCTTCACACAATCGTACATAAATTTGTGTGCGAACATTTTTTTCTTCTCAATATGTTTACTTGTAATTTTGTGGGATTGTTCTAAATTAAATCTTCGCCGTAATCAACAACACTTCAAATACAACAAGCAATTAATTGAAGTGTTCACACACATACGCACTCGCGTATAATGCAAGCCAAGATTGCAAAGCGACAAATGCACGTAGACCATTAAAAAGGTTCGGTGCTCTTTATGAACGTAAATAAATTATAAAAATAACATAAGCATATCAATTTTTGAGCAATGTATTTACATACGTACATATGTAGTATTTACTCGACTTCTGAAACAAACAATAAATGATAATAAAATAACGCGAAAATTCTTTCTCAATTATTTTCGTTGTATTAAATGTGATTTTTGTTGTTTTTATACTCCATTCATAACTAAATCTATTCTCCTCCTTCACTTACAGGCCTCCGCTTGGAGTTTTGGCAGCTTAAGTGGTCGTCTAAATTGGAGCTTTTCTGGCGGTGCTAATAGAAACTCATTTCACAATCGCAATAAGTCAACCAGAAAAAGGTAATTGAACCCAAAAAATTATCTATTTACAAACATACACACAACACACTCGTATGTAAATAAATTAGAAATTGTTGTTTATATATAAACTCCTTTATTATTATTTAGACAACAAATTAATAATTTTTTGTTTTATTCTTTTTTGTAATATACATATATATAATATTTTCACTACATTTCAGTTTAACATCAACACAACAACGCCGCTCCAAGACTCAATGGCATAAGCCGCTCACGAATGCCATATTCAGTTCACATTTCAAGGAAGCAAGTCGCAACGAACAATTCCACATTGTACATTTGGTGGCGAAGGGTGCATTCGGTGTTGTCTTTAAGGTAATTAATAAGCGCTACGCGCAAGAAGAAGGCGCAGCAGCAGCAGCAGAAAATAAAACAGCTGACAACAGCAACAGCGCAACACCGTTACATCCTGCGCTAATTTATGCTCTTAAAGTGTTGAAAAAGTCAAAAGTGAGTTAAAAAAAAAGAACGAAGAGAAAAATTAAAAAATATTTTTCTTTTATTATCTGATTTTTATTTGTTTTGTAGGAAATTTATTTCACAATTGTTTTACTTTATTACTGTATCTCATATGACTAATTTACGTAGACCATTACGTCGCATAACTCGTTTTTTTTTTACTTTTGCTTCTCGTAATTAACTTACTCATATTTGTATATTTATGGCTTTACAGATAATCGAAGAGAACAGTGTGCAACAGTTAAAAGACGAGGCGGACATTCAAAAGTTGTGCGGTCATCATCCGTTTATCGTACAACAAGTGGATTCATGGCAGAATCGTCGTAACTTACACATACGTAAGCTAATTTAGAAGCGAGCAAGTGTTAAGTAAATGACAATTCGTATATTAAAGTTTAATTTTGAGGTGTCAATGATTATTTGCTGGATCGCTGCTTTTCAAAAAGCGGGAAATTTGCATTTAAGTTGCATATTATCAATTATCTTGTAATAACTCCAAATAACGGCATTCTACTGAAGTTCGGAATTCGCTTTTCTTGTATTGCGGCTAAACTCAAAATTATAAAAAAAAAAACAAAAAGGAAAATATGTGTTCTTTTATTTCATTTTAAGATTAAATCTAAATTCTCATATCTAAAAAAATTAGTTGGAGGGCGCTCTATATCAAGCTTTCCGATTTCAAAGTTTATTTATATATACATTCGTAGAATACCAGATTTCAGATAATCATTCGATTTTGATGATTGTCAATGTCAATGCCGATTTGTATATGTGGATGTAGAATCTCATCTCAGTTATATTTTTTTATAATTTTTTTTTAATAAAATAACCAAAAGTATTATCTGCAATAACTTACGTGTCTGCTATTTGTTGTTGTTGTTGTTCTCAAACACAAAAGATTCCCGGAATTGATTTTTGAGAAATATTGCGGTAGTAACAGTCGTTCTCGACTATCGCATTAACTCTCGGATTTTAGTCGCCTCTTGCGACAGCCATGCCTTACCACGGTTAAATTCTCAAGCTTCTAACTCACAAGTTTTACTATTATTTGGTCCAATGGATGAGCGAGCTCGATTATTTGTCGAGGCTATTTAAATTAAAAAGACTGTCATTTACCAAACACTTTATACTCTTATGGATTTATAATTTAAAAAAAATAGTTTTTGTAAAAATACTCAATTAATACTTTATCTACTCTACACAGTTTCCGAATATGTGCCGAATGGCGAGCTCTTCTCTAAACTAACTCACTTCTCATTAGATCTCATACGGGTATATTTAGCGGAAATCGCGCTGGCTATCGGTAAATTTAACTTTAACATTTTTATTTAGTATTTTTTGAATGACTAATCCGTTGAATAATATCTTTTATTAAACACCACAGATTTTCTGCACAATGCTGGTGTAATCTATCGTGATGTTAAACCGGAAAACATTCTGCTAACCGCCGATTTCCATATAAAAATAACTGATTTCGGACTCAGTAAGTGGCTGCGTTTGGGCGCAACTACCAGGACCATGTGTGGCACTTTTCAATATATGGGTACGATTTAAAATAAAAAACCAAAAACAAAAACTATGCAGAAATATTTATAACAATAATTAAAGAAATATGTGTCCAGCAGTAAATCGTATCTAAACACAAAAGAAAAAATATTAAAATCCCCATCTACAATGCAAAATTACATTCTGTAATCATAAAATCAAATAAGAAAACCGTTCTATGAAAACGCAAACTTGTGCAAAGCAAAACAATCATCAAAAAGAAAAATTCTGTAAAAAAGGCGAATAATAGCAACAAAAGAGAAAAAACAAACATCGTGTTAAGAAAAAAGCATTAACACATTCTTGTAAAATAAACAAAACACGTATCAATTATTTAAACATCAATAACTGTACAAATTTTAAAACACATTCAACAGTTTGTTTAAGTTAATGTAAACTCTTATCTCTAGAATACGTTAAGGAAAAACTTTACTTTTTAAATAAGTTTTAATTTGTGTTATTTCCGTTGATACGTGATATCAAAAAATTTGTACTTGACCGCCTCAAATTCAGTTGCCTGCGGGCACAACACTTCGCAATAGTAATTCGTAAGCGTGCGCCTTTTGCCAACGAAGATGAATGCGCGCTCGCAAGTTTTTGACCTCGCCATCGAAGGCCGTCAAGTGGACGAGGCTGTTGCCAGCATCTTTCATACGGTGCTCTTCCATCGCTGCCTAGGCAAATACATGTACACAGGCGATGCTCAGTACTCCATCGGCACAATTGGTTATACCGATGTGGATTGTGATTTCATTGACTTCACATACGTTTGCTGCACGTCAGAGCTGCTGATACGTAACGTTAAACGAGCCATTAACAATTTCAGCGAGCAGTTGCGCTCCAATGAAAGCTGCGGCTCCGGTCAAATAAGTTTGGAATTCTTTCAGAAACGTAAATCGCGTTGGCTATTCCAGCAAGAATGCATCCCATGGGAGGTGTGGACAGTTCATTTGGATCTCATTAAACACGAAAGCGAAGACGAACGTCAACTCAGTCGAGAGAACGTTGCGGATTTATTATCGGAAAAAGTGATATATATCACGGAGCTGATGAATCGAATGGATTATGTGCCGAAGTCACCGGGTCAAAGTGAATTAGATACGGTTTTCGACACTTCATATCCTGATGTACAGCCGTATTTATTCAAATTCGATTGTTCGACTGCGGGCTCACAGTCACCATCGGTAACCAACACGGTTAGGAAAATGTTCAAGGGATCGCTTGCGTTGTGACGTGTAGTGCTCGCGAGTGAGCATAGCCACCGCCAACAACAACAACAGCAACAGCAACAACAAGAAAAACAGCAACCGCAAACACAAACGCAATTGCAGTCGCAACCGCAATTACAGCAGTTGCGCGCTCTGCAGCAGCAGCAGCAGCAGCAAACACAACAGCAAGGAATCGAGATGGTACTACAGCAGCCAAGATATGCTAAAAGAGATACGTTTGTTGTGTCCGGTGGAAAGTACTTTACTAAAGGTACAAGTATTATGATTTCTCAAGTAAGTCGAGCGCAACGCAGCCGAGCATTGAATGACGACAAGAAGGAGCTAAACGCAGCACGCAAGTCCGCCTGTATAGTAGGTGATAAGAATAGCGAACGCAAATCACTTTTAGCTGTTGTGGGTGGTTTGATTTTGCTATTTTTATGTCAACATAATCGTCTCGGCTCATTTTAGGCGCACTTAACTAATTAATCATGCCGAAATACAATTAAATAGATAGTCGCTACATAAACTCCAAACCAATTGTTCATTATTTACGACTAAATTTAATTTTTAACAAACATACATAAGTGTGTTACTACGCTGCACAAACTGTAACGAAAGCGTAGAAACCAATACAAGGGAGTGGAGTGCTCAAATTGTTTAAAAAAGCGTTACAGAAACATTGAAAACAAATTTCAAAAGTTAAAGTGCAAACTTTTCTACGGAAATAAAAGTAAACTCTAAAAATTAGTTGCAAAACTTTAAACAGTTATTTTTTTTTGTATGTGTGTATGAAGAGAAAAATATTTAAGTGGTATTGCGGAACTTACCTGAATATTAATATAGGTTAAATTCGATTGTTGTATAAAAGTGTTATAATTTATGTATGTCCAACGCCGCCTCTGGAGTGCAAATGATTTAACTAATTTCAGTATAAGTCAGAAAATGAACTGACTAATTAGAGAATAAACATTAAAACGACTGATTTTGCCTAAAAATAATTTGATTTAATGGTGTTTTTAAGCACGTTAAGTAGTAAGCAACGTCGAAAAATATATTGAAATAATAAGTCGACAAATTTTATGAAGTGTCGTTGACAATGAAATTTGAGTACTGAAAATTAAAAAAAATATAAGAAGTTTAAAAAAAAAATTCCGTAGCAAAGATAATCAATGTTTTATTTTTAAATTCATTTTATACCTTAACGTTGCTAACGCGCTCGCTTGACCGCTCTCTTGTTGGTTGGCTAACAGTTTGTGTAGCATTGCCAAGATGCTGTAAAAATCCAAAATTTATAAAAACAACTCCTTGTAGGAGGTAAATAAAAAACACTCATGATTGGATTAGAAAACTTTTTTATACTAAAATGTTTGAAATATATTTTCCTTTCGTTTATTTGCCTGCATTTCGTTTTATTTTTTGAAATTCTCTCATATATGTGTATAACTAATAAAAAATATATTTGAGCTACTATTATGCCTTAATAAATTTAGTTTTATTAATATAATATTTTTTCGGTTTTAAATATGTTAATTGAATACAATTTTTCGTTTATCATACTCGTTTGTGTCTTGAATTGAATTTCTCTTTAATTTATTACTGCACTGCATGCATAATTAATTTTAATAATATTTTTTTACGTTCGAATTATAATTTTTTATTTAAATTTTTTATACCTTGGAATTAAAACGTATTTTGTAAGTCAGTGTACCTTTATTAGAGAATTTAAAAATTGAACTCATGTTAAACTGTAAGTTAATACCTACATATGTTATGTTTTATTTGATAAGATTCTTGTGATCTGCAATCATATGAATTCGTGCAAGTAATATCATACATACACACGCATAGATTTTATTTCAAAGTTTTATGCGTTGTTTAGCGCAAGCTGCTGAAGCTGAAGCTGTCGAGCAATAGCTTATTTTTCTTTTGTACGTTGAGAATAGTTTTCTGTTATTCATACTTCGATTTATAAAACAAAATTTAATATGTGTAATGTATTTCCACATGAAATCTATACTATTGAAGTGATTTCTGAATTATAAAGCGGAAAATCAAAGCAGCTCAAAACGGAAAATCTAAATTGTATGAAAATATAGGCATTTTACTATGCTAACGATTATTACTTTGTGGCGAATGAATTTTTAACAACTGAACAAACTCACCTGACCCAACGTACCAACCATACCTATGTAGTTTACGTTTTTATTTAAGAAAAATATTTTTAAAAAGCTGTGAAGCAGATGTGGGATAGAAATGTAGAATGTGTTTTGTATGTGTAGCTTTGATGTTGTGTTCATTGTTGTGTGAAATGTATGTATGTTTAAAGAAATGTATGAAGGAAGCAGCAACTAATATCAAAAGGGGAACATAAGAAAAAGTTTGTAAAAGTATGAAATTTTAAAAAATATTGTAACGTTAAAATGCTTGGACAACATGTAACAATTAATCAATAGCACGAATTTTTTTTTTTAAATGTAATTACATTGAGTGTTTTTATTCTCCATTTTTTCTTCTTACAAGCAAAATAGTAATAATTGGATATTAAAAAAAAAAATTTAAAGCAATGATTTGAAAACAAATTCTTAAAAATAAGAGAGAGAAGTGCTATTTAGTGCAAAACTTTAATTGAATTGTGTACATCAAGTAAATTAAAGAGCCTCTATTGGGCAAAAAAGAAATATGCTTTTACCATAAACTGCGTATGGTCACTTATTATGTTTATTATTTATACATATTTATACAAGAAAAAAAGGTATTTTGAAAAGTTAAAATTAAAATAAAAGTCTAATTATATACACATACATATGTATGTGCAAAAAAAAAAAAGAAATTAAATTGATAATAAATATATATTGCCAACATATTTGGATAACATGGAGTGAGTGGGTATGCCTTAAGCGCACTCTTATTTATTTATCTGTACATACATATATACACATGTACATACATACAATCGTAGCAGATTTTTAGCAACCGAAGCTAATTAATGCATACCCCAACGTTCAGTAGCAAGTAGATATAAATTCTGAAATCAAAATGTTTGCTTTGCTTTACTAAATATTTGCTTGTTTTATTAAAATCACTTTTTTTTTAAATTATCCATAAAATTACTATTTTCGACAGCAAACAAATAATTTGTTAATTCCTTAATTTACTCACTTCTTATAATGAAATACCAGTTTTCTTTACATCACTTTCAAAAATTGTCCTTGAGCACAAACCCATGCCCACATACATACATATATACAGCCATACATATTGTAATATATATTTTATACTTACAAGAGTATAGTAGACTACAATTAAGCAACAAACCCTTGATATTTTTTTACTTTACACATAATAATACATATAAAAAGGCAGTTTTGTTGCCTAATTTAAGTCAAACCTTTACCACTGTCCACCACCAACACCACAAATCATATACCTAAATTTATGTGTATGAATACGTGTATTATTAAAAATTAAAAAAAGAAAATGATTGATGTATACTAAATTATATCCGTGAGCACTAAATAGTAATGTTTTTCAAACTTTAATAATTAAAAAATAAAAATTAATTTAAATTAAAATTGAAAATGTTATCAATATTCTTAAACTCAAAGTGAGTCATAAAAGAAAATTTTTGCGACATTGCGCATAAACAAAATAAATATATTACGTAGAAATTGTAGTATGAATAAGAAAATGCATTTTAGTTTTGTATTCTAAATAAAGAAAAATAAAAAAAACCCCCCACTAACAGACACATGTGTGTTTGTATGCAATAAATAAATGTAATTAAAAATAAATGTATCTACTACAATATTTACTATAAAATGAAAAAGTAATGCAAACAAATAAACCAAGAAATGCTTATTACCATTAGTTGATTGACAATTCGTGTACTTTATGTATGTACTATGTAGCTATATTGCAGTATATAGTACACATACTTAACGTAAAGCTTTGACATAAGAAAGTGATTCATATTTATGTATGTACCGAGTATGTATTTTGAAACTCAAATTTTTAATAATAATATTTTTTAGTGTAACAACGATTTGACCATTAAGTTCACACACACACACACATACACCCACGTATATACAATTGATTAAACTATGACTATAAGAATAATAAAAAATAAAAGCAAGAGGATGAAAAAGAAAAAGAGAGAAATGGAATACACAACACATTCTAAATAAATGATTAGTTAGTATACACTCACACACCCACTCGCATTAAAAATATATACATATATACAAGCGGTGTAAACGTTAAAGAACTATATATATATATATATGTATATAAATATATATTTGGTATGGATAAAAGAATCTATCCATTCTTGTTCAAAATCAAAAGGAATACAATATAATGCGTATGTGCAAAAAAGCGAGCTATATCATACAAATATATATGTATGTATCGTACTACATTCATCCATCCGCCATTACCATTAATCAGTAATGAATTCTGATGAAATTTCTCTTTAAAATTGCGTGTAATAATTTATTAAATATTTATTGTTTATATCTTTTTGTAACATATTGCAAACAATTGTGTATCACAAACTATTATTTAAATGATTAAAATTAGTAAAGAAAGAAACATTAAAAATAAGAGCTTGTCTCAATCCAAAAAAAAAAGGCTCATTAATTTTTATTGAATAAAAAGGAGTATATATTTATAGAACATTACTTTTAACTTCATACGAACTACGTGTATGTATTTAAGTTTGCCTAAATCAGTAATAATTGATAAAACTACAACAACAACAACAACAAATAATTGTGATTCATACGTATATATGTATATACATAGATATGTATATACTTAGTAAACTGTAATTAATTTAAGTCATTAATTAACACCTGTAAGTATACCTGTATTCATGTACATATGTACACACACATACATATATACATATATATTTACTAAAAGCGAAAATAATACAAGAGCATATGTATATATAAAACACCACTTAAAAAATGATAATAATTTAAATATTAATTATGCTGACAAATGACCATATTGATGATAATGAAGATTTAATATATATGTATGTATGTAAATCAAAGTTTAAATGTTTAGTACATTAATGGAGCGAGATAAAATATTTACTTTAACTAGTGTAGATTTGTGAAATTTTTTTCTTGTAATTTTAACACCTACTATACATACATACATTTGTTTTTTGTATGTAATAATAAATTTGAACTTTTACGAAGTCTTGAATTTTTTTTTTTAATTAATACATTTAGTGAAGAGAGAAAATAAAAAATTTTTTGCAACACAAGTTTCGATAAATCTTGTTGTTTATAATAGTCTCTACAGTTCATAATAATGAAAATGATAATAATGTTTCATAATTATGTATGTATATGTTAACGGGGAAAAAAGCATTAATTACAATAACAATAATGGTGTTTCTGACAATTTCTATCATATAAATACATACATACACCTACACATACATACATATATTCAACTCATTAACCAATTAGTTGTAATAATGCATATATATATATGTAATAAAATAAAATCAAATCAAATAAAATAATTGTATGTACTATGTATATTTAGTTGAGTATGTCTAATGAATGCAACAGCAACAACAAAAACAAACAAATACACATTAAAAAGAGTACATGAAGTGAAAAATGAATTGTGTAAATATATTAAGTAAACAGAATTTTTAAAAAATATCAAATAATTGCATTGTTATTTATTCGGAATATATGTGCATTAGCATTATATAATATGTTTTTATTATATCTAGTACATTGAGCTCAACGTTGGTTCGATTTTACTTCAACCCGCAATCCGTGCACGTTGTTTGTCTGGTTGCTTGTTCGTCTGTTTCTTTTTGTGTTTTTATTTGCACATACATACATAAATTTGCGCTTTTCATTTGTTTATTTGTAACGGATTATAAGTAATTTTGTATACAATTTATTATTACCTTCAAAAGACAATTTCTGGTCAACTGAATTACCCCAAATATTTGGCATTCCTCAATTTAATGGTTGTCATTTTGCTATAAATGTGTATTCAAATGTTGATGACCACGACGAATTGAAGGAAACTACAATACTAGACCAAGCGAAAGCTATATACACTTGATTACCAAGATAAAGAAGGTCTCTTTTAATTTAAATTAACTGTTTTTGGCCAAGATTTAAGCTTAGTTATAAAGATAAAGGTTTGTCATTTTGCTCGAACCGTGATTTCGGCAAGTGACCGGCGCTTTTGCAACAATTGGGGCCGTCAGCAATAAAGCGCCGAATAGCCTTTTCCAAGAAGGCGTCAATTGTCTTGGATTTATAAGCGTAGACAAGCGATTTAACGTTACCGATCTTGGAGGCCACGCCACAGGGCCAGGATGCCAGATAATGCGGTCAGGAAAAGTTTCCTTCAATAAATTGATTGTTTCATTGGCTCTATGGCGCGAAGCACCACTCTTGTTGGATTCTTGTACGGAAGAGTTGTTAATCATGGCTTTGTGTGGCTTTATTTTTTAATAAATATTGATGACAATGATTTCCCCTGCCCTCAGAGAACACCAAACAGTGATTTTTAGAGGATGTAGCGTCTCAACAACGGCTTATGGATTATCATCGCTCCAAATGCCATGCCATTCAATGAAAAATGAGCTTAATCGCTAAAGAAAAGTTTCCTATGAAAATAGGGATGGCTGGCAATTTCGGTTTGGGCCAATTCACCGAGCATGCGACGCGCTTGATGGTTGTGCGTTCGGCATTGACTCTTTGAAAACCTCGATTTTAAAAAAGCCCTCTCAGCTCTCTATTTATTTATTGAGATTTGATTTTATCAGCAAAATTCCTTAACCTTCCAACTGAAACTCTCACGAGCTGCTAACCTAGACCACTAGCCGATCGCCTAAGGCTAGTGCTGTTTTGTGGTTGTGGTATAAGTTTTTGTATATTTATATAAAAAAAAAAAAAAAAAAATAAACAGATCATCCATATACACACATCCCTGGGTACTTCCCTTCAGACTGCAAATGTAACAAATTAAACAGAAGGAGCTATGCACTTATGGGGGTACAAGTGGCGTATGATGAACTTTTTAGCAAGATTTCTTTGTCGCTGTGCCATGTCCTAAAAATTCCATGTACCTAATTGGAAAAATAGCATGTTTGTTGTTCCATCTTTTTCCAAACCAAATATTTTTAATAATAAAAGCAATCAAAAAATTCGTCTTAATATCTTTGAATAACTGTATCTTGCCCATAAGCCACGTCGAATATTTCTCATTAAATTTGGCATTTTCAATTTCATTTCTCATTACCAGCTCCAGAGTTGTTGCGTGGTGAGCCCTACGGTCATGCTGTCGATTGGTGGTCAATGGGCATACTTGTTTGTCAGATGCTAATACAAAAGGTAAGTTAATATATACTAATATACATTTTAATAATGATAAAAAGTATTGGAATATACTCTATATTGAGAATATCAAAATATAAAGAAATAATTTTCGGTCGATTTTTTTCTGTTCATAAAAGTGCTTTTACCAGAAAAAAGATCATTCAGAGTATTATCTATCGGAAGCAACTATTTTTCCACATCTCTCTGGCTTTTTTGGAACACCATGGAAAATTAGTCTTCTCTGTTCTCGATCCAATCATTGAGCTATCTTTCACTTCTTCTCTTCTCCGAAAGACTGAAATGCGGTCGTTAGGGCAAAACTTCCCACTTTAACGTTTCCATATGGGATTGAATGTTTTAGCTATCCAGGTGAAGCTGGGTGTTGTTATGTTGCAAAATCATCTTGTCACACCTTTCGGTCGTTTTTGGCCAATTTTAATCAAATTCACCGCTCAAACGCATTAATTTTGGTCGAAAACTTATCGCATCAACGGTTTCCTGTGGTAAAGCTTCCAGTTTAACATCTTCAAACTTTTTTGGTTAGGCAGAATGCTCTTTGTCGTTGATGCTTAAATCACCACTTTTGAAGTGTTGAAATTTCTGCCTTCATAGCTTATCGGTCGGCGCAGATTCAACATTAACATTCCCATGCATTCGATGGACTTCAGCTGAACGTTTCTTCCTATTAAAATAGAAAATTATAACTGCTAGGAAATTCTCTGTATTTAACACAAATTCGGGAATGTTTCGAAAGAGGCAACTAATTATTGTCGACACATTGAAAACCTCTCCATTGACCGGTCACAACTTGCAGGTGTAACCATCTTTTGAGAACGAACCGAATTAATTTGTACCCACAATAATGTAAGACCATGAATGCTACTTGGAGATACCCCAGGGGTGGCCTGAAAGGCACATTATCTCGTATTTTATATTTCTGAATAGATATCGTTTAACTCAGGATAGAAAAGAAGAGTGTATACCCAGTCACTCAACCTTTCGTAACAAAAAACTATTTGTAAATACTGGTAGAGCTCGCAAATAGTTTTTGGTTCCTCTATGAAAGTTACGGTAGCACATTTCAAAAGTCGGTTGGTGGTGATGTGCAAAATATCGAATCCCATCCTATGCAAGGCAGCTAATACAACGCGGCTCTTGTGCACAGTTGTGTTGTCGTGCAAAAGCAGCACACCTTTCGTCAATTTTCCCTGTCTTTTCTCTTCAATAGCCGTAGTATTTATAAGCTATGAAAAACCTTTATCTTTATAATCTATCAATAATATACCCACCGAGTCCCAAAACACCGTAACTGACTGCCCCACCTTAAACTTTTTGGTAGGGAGGTCCAAAGACACTCTACGTGTTCTCGACGTCCATCTTTCACTAACTTTAGATATGTCTCGAGATGGGTACCTCGATGCTCCTGTCCGACCTTCGGTCACCTCCAAGGTATTGTCTTCCTTGTTTGAATAAACTGTGCCACTTGCACATCATGGTTTTTTCCGGGCTAGAGTGGCCATAAGCCAATAACATTAATTATGGTCCCCACTTCTTCTCCTTTCTTGGTAAGGAACTTAATAAAGAAACGTTCTAGGACTTTTTTCTATATTCCCATTTTTCATGTTGCTCCTTTGCCGACAGTTCAAAGACCAATTGGCTAATAACAGTGACACTATTTATACTATTCATGAGTCACTGAACACATTACGATCCTAATGACGTTAATTGCCCCCTAAAACACTCTCAATCCGCCAACATAAGAACTCTGCCTCTTATGTTAGACCTTAACTCCATTCCTTTCTAGCAATTATTTTTGATCGTTGAAATGCGCTTGGAGAAGATTATCTTTTTACATTCGGGGGGTGTTTGTTAAGTCAGTAATTTTTTGAATTTGACGCTCAGCTACTGCAAATACAACAACTAATCAACTTTTATAGATTAGTAGACTGTTGTGAAGTTTTAACCTGGTATATCGTGAGTTTTAACGAATATGACAAAAATTAGTAAAGGGCATCAGTTACTATTGTAGATCACCTCTTTGTGTCCCACAACAGTCTGCTCTGGATGTGTATTATTCTTTCGAGCAATATATTTTCCAACCAACTTCTCAAAGTCTTCATACTCACACATGTCGGCTGCTTTCTTTATTTTACAAATGAGTCTTGCTTCTCTCTTCATCGCTCGATATCTATCCCACCCCTCACGCTGCAAGGTAGGTATTCCTAATCGTACCAGCTGTTTTTTTTTTTTTTTGTTGGGTCCTCGGAGTGATCGCACGTCAAAAATATTAGGGGACAGCCAAGTAGCTTTATCAATTTTCTTGTGCTGGAATCTAGTACTACAGACAAACACATTTCGAGTCCCGGCGAAGTCGATTCGCCTCAACCCATTTTTATTTGCCAAAAAAATAAATTATTTTTTATTCAAAATCTCACTGTCTTATCAAACCATTCTCGTATTTTGTTTTTTATTTTTTTTATTTTTTATATTTAGGTAAAATTCTTTGTTTGATTGGTTAAGTTTTGCATTGTAAAATACGAGTTTGTCGGGGCGTATGAGTAACCCAATTAGAAATGAGAAATGTTACCCAATCCAATTTTCGGAATGTGGTTCGGGTTTCTATAATGATTCTTTTTTAATTATGATGGTTTTAACAACGGTTTTAACTTGCAAGCACTCCCAGTGTATTTCTGACATGTAAGAGGCGCTGCATAAAAATCCATCAGCCGTTTGTAGGTAGCTTAGAATAAAATGTTGTTGGAAAAAACAGCAATACCCAAACAATAAATGCGAAGAGCAGGATCCTGCCCGAAAATCGCTTCAGTGGTTACAAAGCGCCAAATTATACATACACGTGCATATGTATATAAGCTATACGTTTTTAAAACTTTGAAAAATATTTTTATTTGGCTCGAAACTCCTTATATTTTTCCTTATAATTTTTTTTAATCTAACATCGACAATAAGGAAATTCATTATTTATTAAAGAACATTTCTTTGCAGGAAAAATATAGGAATTCATGAGTATTGAATTATTTTCGGAAAAAATAAAGTTTTACCTCATATATTTAACACACCACTGATACTTTTTCGATTCAGCTCCTAAAGTAACACATATTGACTATTCGAAAAATTCCGAAAGTAGTTAAATAAGAGCAGAGACACAAAATTTCGTTTTTATTATTTTTTATTTTTTATCCAAAAATGTCAGTCTATATAAAAATCGTACAAATACATTTTGTTCATATATGTTCATGTATGGTATATAGATGTTATTTAATCATCGTACTTTATTCGTATCGCATGCACACACACAAATATCGACTGTAACTCAACTACATTTCAATTACCAATGAAAATGTATGGATTTTTTCGAAATGTAATTGAAAGTCACAGCAACCAAGCATCGAGTGCGCATGGATATATTAAAGACCTAAAAGAAAACTTGAATTGCAAGTGCCAGCTGAGTTTTTTTGTTTATCAACATTTAACATATTTACGCATACATATAATTTATAAAATTAAACGTAATTGGTCCATATTTGATATTATCTAACGTAGGTTGGCTGATGTGTGTTAATATGCAAAAAAAAATCAAATAAAATGAAAATAATTAAGCCATTCTTATTGTTGTTGTTCGGGTTGCACTTGTTGGAAGTTGAATATTGGACGTTTACTTTGACGTTGAGCTCTTTTCGTTACTTTTGTGACTGCTAAGTTTAATGCTACACATAGTACATACACGTATGTTGGATCTCCGTCTACCATAGCGAAGTGTTTGTTTGTTTGATTGTTGGTTATTTTTTTTTATTTATTTGCTTTTTAGAACTTAAAAGTAGTTGTGCTTCTTTCATAATATTGGAGTGTTTCTTACTGCCATCAGCGAATGTCGGCCTACTCGTACATACGTACGTACATTAAAATTAAATATTCCCTCGTTCAAACTTCACCTTATAGCATGTTGTAGATTAACTTGTATGTTTTAATTTAATTAAGCTTAAATTAATTACTTTCCTCATTTATATATGTATATAATTTATGATATATCATAATTACTTGTGTAAGTATTATTGCTTATATGCCATCTTCTCGGTTTGTCCTTATTAATTTTCTTTAATTATTTATTTAATCAAGTGTCTTCAGCCATGGCTATTCCAGCAGCATAGCAGACCTCTGGTTTCCGATTGAGCGTGCCAGACTGTCATGGCGTTGGCTGTTTCCGTCTGTTGAGCACTCGTTTAAATTCTTCCGACCGTTATCGGCTATTTGCTGATTTCTGCTCTGTTCGATAATAACTTTCGCGGTTCTTTACACTGGCTACGTCATCTAATTCGTTGCTTTTTGCTTGCAAATATTAATTCTGTAATTCTTTCGGTCCCTTGTTTTGTCCGTTGTTTGTTTGTTGATTTAGTTTCTTTCTAAATAGTTTTTACAACTAAAAATAACTAACTATATATTATTAAGAGCGTTGTTGAGTTTGTGACCACCTGTGACATCGGTCCTTTGTATTTGCTTTTTCAGTTTCGTTAAACTTCATTACCAATCGCTTGTTGTTCTAAGTGTGGTCAAATTGATATTTTGTTTGTTGTTTATTTTATTATTATTTTTGTTTTTGTATAACTCGTGGAGGGGAGGTAATTCTATCGGATGTATTTAGAAATCTAGTCTGATTTTTCTTCCTTCGATTCGCTGCTTTCCTTTGATTCAGAGGAATCGGATGAATCTGAATCGGAGTCTTTAGATTTCTTGCTCTCGCTAGATTTGCCAGCCTCAGCAGCGGGTTTCTTCTCTTCCAATGTCTTGGGTTCGCTCTCTTTTACCTCGGGCTTGATTTCTTTTTGTTGCTCTTGTGGTTTCTCAGCTGGTGCTGGTGCGGCAGCAGCTGGCTCTTCAATTTTTTTGGCTTCTGGTGCGGCGGCAGCGGCTGCTTGTGCCGGTTCCTCCACCTTCAATGCCTTGGCGGCGCTCTCTTCGCTTGCTTGATGTTCAATGTCGCCAGCTGTTGCTTGCGCCGCTGGTGCAGACTTCTCAGCAATTGGTTCAGAAGCGGCGGCCTTCAACAATTCTTTGGGAAGTTCGGGCTGTAGGTTCTCAGCTGCTGCAGCTTTTTCCGGAGCGGCATCGGTGGCGGTTGCAGCAGCAGCGGCAGGAGCTGGGGCTGGGGCTGATGGTATGGCGGCACGTACTGGCGCAACATCAAGTGTTGGCTCCTCTGCTGGCAAGCTCTTGATTGCGGGCACTACATCGGCAACGGCAACGGGGGCAGCGGGCGCAGCATTGGCATCAACCTCATTTACAGCTTCGCCAACGCGTTCTTGACGTGCAGGTGTCTCTTCCTTCTTAGCTTCAGTGGTGGCAAGTGCAGGAGGAGCGCTGTCAGCAGTGGCAGCAGGAGCGGCATCGGTTTTTAGTACAGGTGTTTCTTCAGCGACTGAGAGTTCATCCTTCTTTTGTTCAGCGGGCGCTGCTTCGGCAATGATGGTGGATTTGCCTTCAATGTTTGACTGATCCTCAGGAGCGGCGGCGGCGGCGGCGGCGGCAGCAGGAGCGGCAAGCAATGGCTTGGCCTCCTCGGCAGCCTGTTTGGGTTCTTCAGCAATACCAGCAAGGCCGGCAACGGGTGCAGCTGCCGAAAGTATAGGCAGAGCCTTAGCTTCCTCTATTTGATCGTCAGCGCGTGTCTGCTTGTCCTTCTTCTCTTCCTTCTTTTCGGCGGGCAAGCTCTGGCTCAATTCAGCATCGGGTGCGTTCAATGGAAGTTCAGCAAGTTTCTCGTCCTTCTTTTTTTCCACGGTAGCGGCGGCTGCGGGCAACTCAGCAGCACGTGCCTCAACTGGTTTGACAACATCGACAATCTTCTCTTGGGCCTTTTGCACATCACCAGCAGATTTATCTTGGCCCTGTGGCACCGCTTGCACTACCGGCGACACTTCCTCATCGGGCACGGGCAAAGCGAATGCGCTGACAAGCAGTGCGGAGAGAATGACTAATTGGAACTTCATACTGCAAGAGAGGAAAAGAAACGAAAAAATGGATTATGTAATTGTCATGCAATAATGAGCAAATTAATCATAATTGCTATTTATATATGTATTACATAATACGCGAACAGCCCTGCTGCATATGGTTTGTGGTGGAAGTGAAATGGCGCCTCTCGCGGGCTTGGTCAATTGGAAAGGTCAAATTAATGCAACTCAAATTCGTTGCTTACACAAACGAAACGCCCAACAATTGAAAATGGACAAATATTTTTACACATTTTTCTCCTTATTCGCATGAGCATTTGTATACTTAACAAATCTACTTGTAGTAAATCAGTGCTGCGCATTGTACAATACTTGCTGAACGAATGCCAAGTTAATTTGATTGAATTGTCTGCGCCACTTTTCGCAATGACGGAAGCTTACAATTTAATCAACGTAAGCGTAACTAAAAAGAGCCGGCGTGTGTAATCTGGAAGCAACCATCTATTGTGAGACTTCGTTGCACATGACCAAGGGAGGCACAAACACTTGTGTGTATGTGTCGCCTGTGTGTGTGTGTGTGTGTGTGTGTGTGTGTGTGTGAGTGCGCGTGAACGCCGTGACCACTAAATTCACAAAGCAAGTTCATCGTATGACAGTTGGAGGCGTTCATTGTTTTCTTCATTTACATAGGTGTGTATGTGCATATGTGTGTTTGTATGTACATGCCAAGGAATGTACAATACTAAAATTGTGTGTTTCCCATATACTCGTATTGTACATACATTGAAAGCTCACAAATAATTCTCGAGCATTCTTTAGTTGAACTTAAGTGCTAATTGTAGTTGCTGAGTGGTACGGATATCAAATCAAATGAATTTAGTATAAATAGCACTTATATGCATATTTATTTAAGTGTGTGCAGTTATAAACAAATATATATGTACATATATGTAAATATGTATGAATGAAGTATAAGCAAAATTATAATGATACTCATTTGACGTTTTTGAAAGTCTGACGCATGCACCACGTCTCAGTTGCGATTTTCACACGAAAATATTTATTGCAATTTAATATACATCACTTTTGTGAAGTGGAGTTGTTAATTATTTTTATAAATAAAAAATGTCAATTGATTGTTTATTTTGCTTACACATTTTTTTTATTTATTTTTTTTGGATTTCAATTCTGTATATTTTTTATACCTTTCATGCACACGAGGTTGAACTGTCCGACACAACGAGGCTCAGCGATATTAAATGATATATTAACTCCGATCCCCAAGTGTAAAAGTTCAAGAAGGAGAAGAAATAGATCCGTAAAAATATATACCGATATAATCAGAACGACAATTTGAGTACATTAACCAAGTCCGTTCGTCTGTTTCAACGCAAAATAGTTCCTCGGTTTTTGAAATATTTCAACCAAATTCGATACATAGAAGTATTGGTATATTTAAATGATCATTTGTCGCAAGCGATATTATGCACTCATATAATGAGCTGCAAATTGGTTGTGAAAATTATTGAAATCGGTCCACTATAACAAATAGTTCCCATTCAACGATTTTTTTAGATACGAGATTTTGGGTCAAAAACCATAAAAAAGGGATCTAAGAGAAGAAAATTTGTATTCTACAATATATACGTATATATAAACAAACATTGTCACCGAAAATTATCGAAACCAAAGGACTAACCGATTTGTTTAGATATGTGGTTCTAGGACAAATATCAATTAAAAAAGCATCTACAAGCGTGAGATTTGGTATTCTAAACGCGTGTAAAATAAACATTTTCATCTAAAATTATCGAAATCGGAGAGCTTCATGTAGAGCGTCCTGCAACTAATTTTTTTTTAAATATGAGAACTAATATAATATTTCATCTTAAAGTGATATGGTCATGAAAGGTATACAGACTTCGGCATTATCGAGCACAGCTTTTCTTTCTTGTTTATATTTGCTTATACATACGTACGGCACTGCTTTGGTATAATATTTAATATTTATATCACATGCTCTTATGTGTACAAATATTTATTGAAATTATCGTTCATAAGTTTTATAATTTGATATGCAAGCAACGTGTCTCCATTTGCTTGTGAGTATGTATAATATAATGTATGTATGTAAGTTGTGAGTTAGACTTAATTTGAACCTCAGCTTCTCAAAAAAAAAAAAACGTAGAAAAAAGATATTTTTTCCAGAGTCATCTGACTAATATTTATTTATATACAAGTTTTTTTCTAAACCAAATATTTTTCTTATCAGTTGACTTTTGAGCATATATTACATATTGCAGATAGCATATACCGACCTGTTGTACTTATTATGCAGCGTTAAAGAAGAACTAAAAGTGTACAATTTTTATTCAGAATTTTTAAGAAGTATTTGAGTATTCAGTTTTCAAGTTCAAGAGCCAATACCATAAGCTGAAGTATTTTTTTCAGGAGCTTTAATTTATGGTAGAAATTTTATGGTAGAAATTGATGTTTCCTGCCGAAAGGCGATCGCAATTAGACAAATTAATTTTCTCTAATCTTGAATTGGTCTTCCGAATGTCAAATAGCAAATTAATGTTTATGTTGAGGTTTGGCTCTCTATGCCTTGTTTATAGAAAGTGCTGCTCACTTTAACTCATAAGGTGAAATAACTTCTTGTGTTGAGGGCAGTTCCAATCAATTTAAGACTAACTTTTTGACTATAATTTTTGTCTTTAAAACGCTGTAAATTTTTAAAATATTTAATTATTTCCATAAAACATGGCAAGTCGTTTGGAAATAATTTTGCAGCACTGAATTTAAGGCGTTAAATATCAAAGCCAAGATTTATAAAATAGAACTTAGTACAACCGCAGAATCATGTGCTTAATGGAGAAATTAGTTCAATTTTATGTGTTGCCAAAGACTTTAAAATACATAACACAGCTTAACTTTGTGACTGTAAAATTTTAAATTTTAAACAATAACAATTTTTATAATTGTTTTTTTGCGGTCATGCTTTATAATAATTTTCGATAAAAGTATTAAGTAAACTAAAGGTCTTTTGGTTTGTTCGTATGAACTAAATTTTATAAAGAAAAATTGTAGAAGTGACAGCTATTTAATACGTCCTGAATGATTTCATGTCAAAAAAATGTATTTTAATCTTCAAACAATTTTAAATTATAAAAATAACATTATTTTTTAACAGAACTTTCTATAGCTAGCAACTCTGGCTAAAGTTTTTTTTTTGTAATAATATAATATATCATCGCACTGTAAATATGACGAAGTTGGTTCGGTGACGTTAACGGTTGTAACATTATATTCGGTATTGGAATTTGTATGGATTATGATGGACTTTTCTTCATTTTTTGTTCTCGGTTTTTGTATAACAGTTTGTATTTTGTACTTTTTTTTCTTTTAATTTTATGCTGTTTTTTTTTAATAAATGATGTAAATAAAAAATTAGCTAAACATAAATAAAGAAAATACCTTATTCTGCAAGCATATTAATTTTAGAAATTCAAATCCAATTAAACATTTATAAAAGTTCCCATTTACTGTTAAGCTTACAGATAGTTAATTTCTTTTGCCAGTCATAGGCATTGCAGAAATTAAAAACAAAAATTTAAAAAAAATAGTAATAATATGTATCATAAGTGTACAGTTTGAGTCATATTTGACATAGGAAATTTTACAATTCGTTAAAAAATTTCCATAATAAATTAGACTAATTCAGCTGTAAGGTTTTGATTCAGCGCTGCTAAAGCATTGTTAAACTGACAGCTCATTTCGCACAGACAGCCGGAACATTTTGCAAATCGAATACACAAAATGTAAGTGCTTTTAATGTAATTACTGTTAATGTCAGTTTTCAATTCAGAACACTTTAATTTAATGATTACATTTTTTATTGTATTGTACATCATAAAATTAGTGGCGCTTTTTTTTTTAAGTGAATTCTCTACAATAAATTGTGAGAATGCTTATGTATTACACATACGATTAACTTTTTATACATATGTATGTATGTATGTGTGTTGAATTTTAAGTGGCTTATCTTAAATAAATCGGCAGCGTGGCAAAGAACGCCTTCAATAAAAGTAATTTCATTATTCTTAATGCGAAAGCGCTAGTCTGAACGTAATTAATGGCTTCAAAATTGCCTGTCGAAAGGTGGCAAAAACATGTACATATGTACATACATACATATGTAGGTGGACAATAATTTGGAGTGTTTAAAGACACTAAATAAATCAGTACGTTTGCATGCCTGCTGTCGACTGCATTAACTACAAAACTGATATGCGATTGCAGATTGCCAATGCGCACGGCGTTGATGACTAATGCAGCTAGCAAAGGCGGTGTGCGTGCAACTACGAACAGCGTAGTGGCAGTGACGAAAATACATATATGTACATACATACACGTACAGTTGTACATACATATTTATTATATTTACATAAATGCGCGTATTTCCTTTCCAAAACCATTAACAGCAACAAAAAGACGAAAATGAAATGAAATCGACACTTAAACGTAAACGTAAAATGGTAATCAGAAATAAAATCGAAATTGAGCGCAGTGCGCCTACAAACTGCCTAATGTAGCTACTACAGCTGTACACTTTATCTACATACATATGTACATACGTGTATGTATGTATTTAGGTGCGTGTATGGGGCTTCACAGTGCTTGCAATTAATAAACATTGCATCAATAAAAGTGCATAACGCACAACAATCTACTACTCCTTTAAGCAGATATTTAACTGCGTGTATGTATGTAAATATGTATGTATATTTATGCGCCTGTTGTCATAAATGCCTGCTGCAACAATTACATAACGCTGGCTAAACGGTTTTTTAGGCAACAACACTGCTGCTACACACGATTCGAACTTATGAAAAAGCAGAGTTTATGTCCGCTTACTTTTTTCGCTTGCATGTATGTGTGTGCAGTTTTTTTTTGTTTCAAAAAATGAAGAAAAAAAATATATATTTTTTTCAATATATTTTATTTCATTCGTTTTTTTACGACTACGCAGGAGTA